TGGGCCCAGCTATCCAGCCAGTGTTTTATCCAGTGAAGAGTAAACCCATCCAAGCATGATGGAAGGCAATTATGTCTTAGACATAGGTATTTTTGTGAAGTAATTATTTCAGGAAGGTCTTTTGCTTGGGTTAAATGAAATATTAAGTAATTTTTTAATTTAATAGTGCATATGGGCTATAATGAAATATTCCTTGTGATTGATTTTAGAAGATTTTAGCAGTCTGTAGCATCTCTGTTTCTTTTATAAGAAAGAAGATAAAAGAAGGATCAGAAAATAAGAGGCAGTAAGGGAAAAGATGCTTAGTGTGAATTATTGACGGTTATTTCTCTATATATGTTAAATGCTGCCTCCAAGCAGATCTGTAAGAATGTAACGCGTTATTAGAGATTCAGTTCTTACCTTATAGCACACAGTAAAGAAGGCATCTTTCAACTCTTGGTCTCTGTAATGGGCAAAGCAACCAAACTTCTGTTTGTTTTGGGTTTTTTTTAAAATTTGTCTTTGAGTATGTGCTTTCAGTTTCCCAAATGCAGAGTACAAAGTGCCAGTCATTCAGCTTGAAGACAATAATTTTCTTGTTGCTATTGTTCTAGCCTTAATAGCTGCTACTAAACTTACTTGGCATGGAAAACGTTGCATAGAGCAAGGACCTGGCTCTGTCTTTTTAGTTAAAGATGTTTTGAAATATTTTGAGCAGCAGCAATTACTCTAGCTGTTATCCATTGAAGTGCCCTGGTTTCTGTCTTTTGTGCAGGATATCACCCACTGCTCTGTAGGTATAGTGGATAGATCCTATAGCAGAGGGCCTCAGTGGGATAAGGACTGTTTTTCAGTCATGTGCAAGTGCATCAGCAATCTGCTGAGGTGCAATTTGCTTTATTGCTGTCAAATAAACTATTTTTCCAAGTTTTTGAAGTGCGTGCTAATATTTTAAAAACTCTTTGCCAGTTATAGCGAAAGGCTTCAATGAGTGTCCCAAAACGCTGCTGGTATTTTTATGTAATGAAGGTTAAGCAATGTCTAGCTGAATACCATGAAATTTTATGGGTACATTTTTTCAAGGCTGCATCTGTTTGTTCTTTTCTGGGGTATGGGGTTTTTTTCCGATTGCCATCGTCTGACATAATAAGCTTCATCTGCATGTTTTTAGCAACATCTGGTTTAATGGATGAGTTATTTCTCTGTGTAAACTACAAAGTCAAAGCAGTGGATGCAAACTTTTCCGGAAGGGTGTGGAGCTGCAGTGCATCTTCTCTGAGGCACAGAAACCAGTAGCTAGGGAACAGTGAGAAAGCTTAGGAATGATTGATTCAGATATTAGGCAGTTTTAAATTTATCTGTTCACCTTCAAGAAAGAGTTACTCTTTGCTCAATACTTCAGATAGCATCTTAGTATATGTATATATAAAAATTAAGCACTTGAAGGAGCAGAGATTTTTCTTTAAATCAGAATATACTGATTGATAGTGAGACTATACCTTATGGTTTCACTGGTTTCTATGGGTTGTTCTAATGCAACTATTTTGAATGTGTATGGACGGATTAAAGAGACCACTTGGATAGAGGCATTTCCAAAGTTCTCCTTAGTTACACATCTGACTACCACTAAATTCTTACACAGTTAATCTGATGCCTTGCTAAATTCTGTCCTTTAAGTAATTTAAAGATAGTTAGGGGTCTGTTCACACAACTAAGATTTTTTTAGCAGAAAAAGAGAGGCTTGAAGTTGTGAGAATTAACCCAAATGTCAAGGTCCAGATTCTTCCACAAGATGAGTAATTATGTGTTTGGTCCTCTGTCCTTTCCATGACCAGGCTTCAGGTTAAAAGATGAGTCAATAAGTTTGGCATAAATTTACATTATTCAGTTGGATTGGCATGATATAAAAGTCAGCACTCTACACAAGGAGACTTTAAAATCTCTTTGAAGAAGATTTCTTTTAATTCAGTATATTTGTATTACACCAGAGACTAAGTTGGTAGATTGTAGATTATCATAATCTTGATAACCCAGACACTAAAGTCTGACATAAGGGTAGTCCTTAAGTAGTTTTAGTCTTGTTAGAACAAAGAAAGGGGAGATTAGTGAAACTGTGAATTAGGTCTAAAATCTTTCTGTACCATCAACACCTGGTATTAAGGTTTATCTCAGAGCAGAATGTGTAATTCTGAAATATGCCTGTTCTAACAAGCATTTTAAGGAGATGAATGATCACATTAGTGATTTTCTTTAGAAATAATTTATTTCCTTAGCCTGATTTGATTTGAATTTTGACCTTTTAAGACTTTTGATCTAAATCCATTTAAGATGCTTCTGAAGGCCTTAAAAGACAATGAGAAGTTAGCAGCTTTCATATTAAAAAAATACATGAAGTGTTCAGAATGAAAGATTTAAATCCCACAGAAGCAATATCTTTAGGGCTACACAGTCCTCACTCTATAGCAAAGGAAAAATGAATGGAAATTAGAGGAGAAAATCAGCTGGATCTCTGTCTTGTGCTGTGCTCTCATGCCTGTGCTAGGTACTGCCTGGCCAAGTCCCTATCTGTGGTTTTCAGTGTTGCACTTAAGAATTTTTCTATGGCTGAATTGGCTCAAGTATTAGGAAAATTTAGATTTATTATCATGAAAATGGTCTTATCGTGTTTCATCCCTTTGTTAGCAATAGCATTTTAGACCACCCAGCCATGCCAGCCCTTCTTCTCATACCTTTTTATGTGCTGTAATTTAAGGAGATGGGGAGCAAAGCTTTAGATCTTCTGAACTACAGGCCATATCTGATAAAGAATGCATTCTGTGATTATGAAACCAAGTATATAATGCCTGTAATGTAGAAGTCTGCTGCTGCTCTGATTTATTTCCAGTCAGTTGAATTGTTCACATGAGTTGTTGGAAGGTAAGGTCTTCACTAATTCGAACAGATACGTGTCTTAAATTATCTGTGGAGAATACATAACGGAAGAAATCCATGGTAAAGATTTTCGATGTAGCACTATCATGTTTCCACTTTGGCAGTAATATCAGAGGAAATGATACGGCGTGTCTTCACGGTTTATACTGATATGACAATTACCCAGCATATTGGTATTTACAAACTCTTTGAGCTGATACCTGACTGCATCATTTCCCTGGTAAACTGTTTATGTGCCATTTTCGTCTGCATTTTGACTTGTGAAGCGATGGGTAGCTGCTCATCCTCTTTCCATCATAGATGCTCTCTTCATGCAGGACAAAATTCAGAATTTATCTGCTAGTACATTATACAGTAATTATTAATGTATTCTTCAGCAAAATAATAGATCTTGTAGAAATAGCAAAATAGCAGTAGAATTAGCACAAAGTCAGAGCAAAGCCCCAGCCTTGACAGAGTGTTATTTTTGTCTGTACCCAGCACTGCAAGATGCCAGCAAATGCAGCTATCTTTGCTTTTACTCTGTGTACCATGCTGGTTTACTACTGAAAGAGAAGCAAAGCACAGGTTATTACTGCAAGGTTTCTGTTAAATCTAGTCTTGAGTGCTATTTTTCTTGTTTCAATGCACTGAATCTGCTTTCTTGCAGTGGAATTTCCTCTCAGCTAAGGACAGACAGCAGAGAATAGATGAGTGGCTTCAGCCATAGGAGGCTTTGAGACATCTGGTTCTCCCTTGTGTCATTTGTGTTCCACTCTGTCAAAAGTAGGACACAGCTGGGGAAAGATGGTGGGGGAAGGAAACATCCAGACCTCCTGGTGGTTGTGTCTGTATGAATCAGCAGGTTGGTTTGCGCTGATGGAGATGGATGCAGGATAATAACCCAAATACATCTTTGTTTACAGTAGCCTTGGAGAGAAAACATGAGGCTCCTCTCTGAGGAGCTGCGGATCTGGCTGGGCACAATGGAGAAACCAATCTCAGCATCAAGATGTTTTAAAATGCTAATCAGCTTGTATTCATTACCAAACACCTGCAAGTGAAATTAGGATAACAGTGAAAGAAGCAAATGTGATGTTGTTAAAATGGTGTGAAACTAAGCAATCCTGTGATCTTGCAGTGGCGCAGATGCGGAGTGGGCAGCTACATGGGGCTGAGCAAGAGGTGGCAACGGGATCACTGGGAATTCAGTAATTAATGATTCAAACACTGTTTCCATAACGTGTAAGGAATGGCCGGGTTAAATACGTGGATTGTTCTCCAGCACAGTTCAGTCTTCTGTATGTCTTGTACCTGGGACAAACCTGGTTTAATCTGCACACAGTGAGAGGTGCAGAGAGTGGTAGGGAAGTGTCAAGGCGGACACAATCAGGGAATGATCCATTTCCCAGTATTCCTTTAAAATATATTGTTGACAGTCAGATGAAAATACCTGGCTTTATACCTATTCCTAGAAATATGTAATTTCCACGTAGTTCTTGGAATAGAGTCACTTCTTCTTTCAGTAGCACAGGCATGGTTGGCGTCTAGTCTGATTCTTATTTTTACAGTCTAATTAGAAGTGCTGCCACCTTCTAAATTATTTCACTGACTAGAAAAGAAAGTATACATCTCTTCCTTATAACTTCACTTGACCTCGGCATTATTGATTACACCCAAAGTGTACAGCCTATAGTTCATCAGTGACGTAAGGACTAGCTTCCATTTGACCTTAAATCCTTGTGTGTGGTGTATTTAGCTCAAGGTCTTGCTGCTGCAGCTCTTCTGCACTGTGTGATATTCATGTGAATGCTTTCATTGGCTTTGGTGTGACTGCTTGCACAGTAAGGTCTATTCATTTGAAGAAGATCTGTAGATACAAGGCAGGTGTTTAAATTCAGGAATGTTCTGCTGGTTCTTCTTCCTAAGCACATTTTGGAATGTAGGACTTGGCTCAAAGATCCTGCTAAATTAACAGGGATCGATCTTTATCATCTTAAATTTGCATTTGTCAGCTTTTCATAAGACTTTATGTGCCATGTTTCTATTGAGATGTCACCCATTTCCCTGAAAATTCTTTAATAATAAGTTTTATTGTTATTATTCAGGTGTTCAAATGAAACAGTATTCAAAAAAGAAGATTTGTTCTGGGCATACAATTTCTGCCCCACTCCATACTCTTGGACAGCACTTCTGGGCCTTATTTTGTACTTGGTTTTCTTTGCACCTGGTAAGTGAACATTTGTTTATGCAAGTAAGTTAAAAATTTGTAAGAGTAAAATGTCAAATAGTGAGACTATGTGTTAAATTTACTTTTGAGTCCAGACATTAAACTGAGATTGATCTTTTTACCTAATTCTTAGGGATGGGTCCTATGCCCTGGACTGTCAATTCTGAAATTTACCCACTTTGGGCTAGAAGTACAGGAAATGCGTGTTCCTCTGGAGTCAACTGGGTTTTCAATGTGCTCGTGTCACTGACATTTCTGCATACGGCCGAATATCTGACATACTATGGTAAGAAACAGTATGTGTCTGTGTGTGCAGTGCTTCCATTGGCGCATAGATTTTCCACTGATTCTGGTTTGCTCAGTTGGTTTTGCTATGAAATGTCAACTGTAAATGCAGTGTTCTCAACCCCCCGTGGTTTAGTAAGACCAGAGACCTGATACGACCTGACTAGATCATAGAATTTGGTCCAGCTTTCAGAAGAAACATTTCCTTCTGTCCTTAACTGAGAACCTAGACAGCTGATTAAAACAAGGAAACTGGAAAAAACCCCATACTTAGTGAAGTATGCTGATTCCCACTTAAGGGGAAAGCATCTGCAGTATTCCAGTTTATGATGGCATCCAAGGTCCCTGCAGAAACAGCCGTGTAAGATGCTACTGCCCCACTCCCAACTGTTGATTAAGTCCTGTCTGCTAGAGCCTGTGGAGAATTTGTCAGATTACTGCTCAGCCACTCCAGTTCAAGTCATTTAAATTACATTAAGCTGTGAGGGAGTTGTTGTGACCTTCATATCATTATGAGTACAGAGCCTTTCAGCTCTACTTGTCATTCCTTTGAGTCATCACTCCAGAAACGCATGGCAGGTACATGTTTGTTGGTCCTTCAGTACCTTCTCTGCTCCCTTAGGTAAGGTGGGTGGCGGTGGAACGAAGTCTTTCTCACTGCTAAATGTCTCTGCAGAGGACTTTTAAATAATAATTAAGTGTAATAGTCACCAGCATTATTTTAGACTACTTATTTTTTGCTAAAGTTTCTTATTCTAAAGGAATTGTCTTAGTGTGTCCTTCGCTGTTAAGATAAACTAAGAAAGTTCTTGCCTTTGATATCTGTTTTTTTTCTTGGATATGCAACTGTTTAATTGCTGTTTATTTTAACAGCAGAATGACTTGTCCAGAAAAGATGTGTGATATCTTCCACATGAAATGAATGGCTTTTGTTGATTTACTCCACCATGGAGCGACACAATAAAGTGGTCTTTCCCAACACCCTCAGCCCCACAGCTTGTTGTTTTAATGATGCTGCTCTAACCTTTGCTTTTACGCCCTCCTTGATAGTGGCAGCCGCTGCTTCTGCCACTCCCTCTGCTCTGGAGCAGAGAAGGAACAGGAACGTCTGTAACCATCTGTGCGTATTGCTTTACATTGCAGGAGCCTTCTTCCTCTACGCAGGGTTTGCTGCCCTGGGACTGGTGTTCATCTACGGCTGCCTTCCTGAGACTAAAGGGAAAAAACTAGAGGAAATTGAGTCTTTGTTTGAAAACAGGCTATGTACATGTGGTATGTCAGATTCTGATGAAGGGAGGTATATTGAGTATATTCGGGTGAAGGGAAGTAATTACCATCTTTCTGACAATGATGCTTCTGATGTGGAATAATTTTCAGCTGCTGATGTATTTCATCATTTAAAAGCCTTCTGGGGGAAAAGCAGCTCTCTGATGACCTCACTGCCCTGCTTCTGGTCTGGTTCTCCTTTCTACCGTCTAGTTAAAAATGCCTTCATGTTCAAAAATGCGCCATTGGGGAGGAAATTCAGTATGCTACTGTTTTCTTGATAACTAAAAGCAATGGCTTCCAAAAGAGATTGCATTCCACGATTATGTGAATTCACCAAGTGTGCGTGACACTGCACCATCCCAAGGTTTATTTAGTAGAGTGCACTGTACCAGATGGATACAGAAGGCTATCCTAGATTGTCAGAGGTTGTCCTTATCTTCAGTACTGACAAAAGATAAAATAATAGAGTGGCTAATCAGAAAGCAGCCATCATCTGTCAGATCCCCATCCCATAGCAGCCCAGCAAATAGCTCTGCTGTGTGATACTACAAATGGCGAATTTGTAAGTTGCTGTACTGGTAACAATTTTAAAAGTTTAACTGATTAGGAAAATACAAATATCTGCTGTATCTATCAGAGGGACCATTTCCCAAATTTACCCTTAGGAGAATTTCTGTTTTTATTTATTTGCGATAACAAGTAGAGAGCCATACTCACCTGGGTGGAGATTCACTAAGGTGGCGTACATCCACGTTATGCCACGTTATTTAGCTGCTGCTGCTCTTGAGTACACACTACTGTCAGGAGTTAGTGTGTTAGTGTGGTGTTAGTGAGAGAAACTGCCAAAATTAGCTACCTGACAGTGGGAGAACAGAACTAAGTATGTGGCCACACGTACAAATGAACTGGTATATGTTGGTAGGTGCAGTGTAGAGGCTTCAGTCAGCTGGAAAGGAATTCTTTTTATTTTCTTTTTTTGCAGTTGAGCACTTGGGTTCATGCCTAATCTTGAGCACAAAATATCATTAGCTAAAAGAATGAAAAGGAGGAAGAGGTTTTGTGCTGCTGGATGCACAGTGGTCATCCCTCTTGCACCTTTTGCTCATGAATAATCATTGCCTTCAGTTTATCTTCATATTTGCTGAGTAGATGAATCCCAGCACATTTTTCCTTCAGATGCCCTTAGTCAACCAGCATCTCCATGGATCTAGAGAGAATATTAGCAATGGGCAGAAGCCTACATCTCGTATTAATTGCCTTACTGAAGCATTGCAAAATTGGCAAGAAAATGTCAGGCACAAAAATCAACTTGACTGGCTTTAGGCTGGTAATGAAAATATGAATGGTATTTTATTCACCTGCCATGATTGCTTGCCTTAGCAAATTGAATTTTATGCAGCTACATAAAAATATTATGGGGTTTTTTTTCTTGCGTGTCCTCACTGCTTTAAGTCTTCAGAGATAAGAGTTGAAAAGCACCAACATTTCAAATTCTTATCTTTGAAACATTTGCTTCATGAAAGGATGTGGAAAACCTCCTCTGCCTGTGGGTTGCCCCCCATTTACTTGATAAAAATATATTTATTTTTCACTGTGTAAAGATTAAATAAGTTGTTGGGTTCATTGGTCTTTATGGATTTGCTTTGTGGGCTTTTCTTAGGTTGAAAAATACTTGGAATGTAGGATTACTGTCAAAACTGAGATGGGACATTTGTTACTGAATTATTTTTACTGGATAACATGAGGTTTTGTTGTTGTAAAGAAGTTAGATATTATGTTATCTGATCTATGAGGGGAGTTTTTACTCTGCAATTATGGACCTTCAGCAATTGGGTGTATGTTGCGTTATTTTCTTTTTTACTTCATTAATCAAAGAAATATTTTTGGAAACAAAACACTTTCAAGCATCCATCTGTGACTGGACTGGTACTAAAAGGGGAAAGCACAGTGGACAGAGGGATTTTCAAACCGATCATTGCAAAGAGCAGTCTGACCTTGAACATCTTGCATGATGAGAAGGCTGGATTCTCACGCCTGCCATCTTGCCTCCTCTTTAACTGCACAGCATTTTTATGCTTGAAAGGCACCAGCTGTTGGAAGTGCAGAGGTCTCCAGACCTATCTACGAGTTCACCCTCCATGGGACGTCTCCGTTAGGCTGTCACCTCTTTGAAACCTTCACCAAAGGTGCAGTTCCTGAAATGAGAAAAAGGGATACTTGGCACAGATGAGAACACAGTAGTTTTCAGTTCAAAGTGGTTTCTTCCTGAAACCAAAAAATGGGTGTTTGAAGATGCTTATTTGGAACAGTTTTGTCATCTAGAACAGCGTGTGAATAAGTGTATGACACCCAACCTGTGCTTGCATGGTATCCTGCATAGAGATAGGTTTAAGTAGGTATTTACTGGCTTTTTGGAATAGAGACTTATGACTCTGTTCCCCCACCAGAATCAGGAGCCTGCGCTCATTGTTACTCCTATGACCCTTGCTTGAGGTGTTTTGCTGGAGCAGGGTGTAAGCCAGGGAGGGTGTTCCTGTGCCAGCACAGTGTTGGTGCTGACCTCACCGCAGGTAGAGGAAAATGCTGCGTTTATTTGGCATAACCAAAGCATGGTCACTGGAAAGATCGCTGTCACAAGATCAGCTCTTTTGTTTTGCAGGCAGTGCTGAGGCTTTTTAGCAGCTGAAGACCACCTCTCTCTGCCAGCCTTGCTCCACAGATGCTCTCTAAAGCGGCGCTCAGCAGCGCGTGCTGCACCGGGCTGGGTTCTCACCAGTTCAATCTTACTGAAAGCAGTGCTCTGAAAGGTTGCATCCCATGCCCTTTTTTCTGAGGCAAAATAATTGAAACACATGCATTTTGTTCATCATTGCTACTGGCTATGAGGATGCAAAATACATCAGCTTCTTGATTGCCACTCCCCCTTTCCTGCCCACAGAGAGCTGAGTTTAAATCTTCCTTATAAGGTTGCTTTTCATCAAGACAACATTCCATCCCTTAGAAACACTGAACCTAGTACCAAGCATCATGAGTAATAAAAGTGAGATCAAATACTTGAAATTAATCTTACACAATTAGGGTTTTATTTTTAGAATCTGTGAACATTTATAATGTATGAAGAAAACGAAATAAATGTTTCTATTTTGCAAAGATTTTTTGTATTTGTGCATATTTTAAGTTTTAAGATATTTTTGCTAAGTAACATTTTTGCTTAGTAACATTCCAGATAAAAGAATAAAAATACAGTGTAGCTGAATAATTTCTTATGTCAGGATTTTAATTTATGAAGTAGCATAAATAGTATGTCTAAGTACAACATTGTTTTATTGAAAGCTTTCTGCAGACAATGTGAAATTGTTTCTTCACAAGGACTGCACACTTAATTCAGGTATTCTGTGCATCAGGCATACAAGAGTAATGCTGCTGGTAGAGTTGGGCATATTGATTGTACACAACAATTTGAGATATTTTAATTCGTATTAATCTACTGACTCTACATGTTTTGGTCTAAGAGCAAGTATGAAAGAAACAAGTCCTGATGCATTTTTAATCTTTTTAAATTTAATTTGCATGCAGTAGTTTGTTCACCATGTTGCAGAACTGAAGTGTCAGGGAGGTTGACATAATTTGCCACTTGTTTTTTCCCCCTGTCACTTTGTTGATCAAAATTGGTTTTTAACAAGAGAAGCAAACCTGTTTTAAAAATAGATATTGAAACAAAGCAAGGCCCCAGGACTTGTTTAGAGGGCTGAAGGTGCATTGCTATGTGTACAACTTAGATTGCTCTTATAGACATTGCTACCTTCTGAGTTGCAGTGACAGCCCTATCACAAATTTCAGGACAGGAGAGGATACATCCCAAGGAACATTGTTCCAAAGCCAGCTTATTTTTGCATGAGTTGGAAAAGGCAGCATTTCACTGGTGCAGGAGTTAAGGTTGGCAGGGGAGAAGAAAGAAATGATGCCCAAAAGCCTCCCAAAGTCACGCTTCAGTAGAGATGTGTGTTGTAGCCAAAAGGAGCCATCTCTGGCTTCTCTCCCATGTAGGAGAAGGATGGTGGGGCCAAGGGACTGCACTTGGTCCTGTGGATGGGAACTGGGGGGAAGAGGCACACAAGTGCTCCTCTCCTGTGCCCACCTGGAGATGAGAACATGGCAACCAAGTCTGCAAAGCCAGTACTTTTTTCCTTGGTGAAATCTCTTTTGCCCTTCTTAGTCACCCAGGTTGAGAAGTTTTGATTTTCGGGGGCTGCTGCAGGCCCTGAGCAAGGGTCTTTGCTTTGGCCATGAGGTTATTGGGTGCCATCCTCCAAGCACACAGTGGGCTGATTAAAGATAGACCCTGTACTCCTCAGCTTTATACCCAGCTTTCTACTTTTCATCGTCAGCACTCTTCTGATGTTGTCTTTCTGAAATTTTACTTGTATTTGTGTAAGAAGCTTTGTTAGCTGAACATCACTGAGCAAGAAAGAGGCAAAGTCTTCACAGTATAGAGAGATCTCGGGATAGAAATCAAGGCAGAAGAGAAAGTTCTGCAAAGCACTTTACAGCATAAGATATTTGTGCACTTTTTTCTGAGGGAATCAAGCTAACCAATCCCATTCCTCTGCATTGGGAAGAAAATCCAGCTTTGTGTACCAGGCCAGAAGCAGATAATGCCACAATATGTGCTTTATGGCAAAATGTGTTTTTATTGCGGGTAACATTTACAGCTTACATGTAGCTGCTGCCTATAAAGTGACTCAATCGTTCTCTGGATTTTAACAAGTCACATTTTTGTGCAAAAATCTTAGTGGTTTTCTATCGATCTTCATCGCCTTGTGTACAGTACAGTTAAACATAATCCACAAAGTGGTCTAGGTTGTGGCAGTGTTACAAATGTCAGCACAGTAAAATCTAGGTGAACATTGTTAAAGAAATATTGTTGTTTGTGATACTGGGGGTTAAAACTCCTTACAGGCAACTATATATAGATTTTAAAAGTCTGAAAAAAAAATGGCAGTTCTTATCTATTTTGTGTATGTTTTCATATAGAGAAGGAGTTTTTTATGTGCCAGTAACCATCACTGTAGTGTTTTGTAAATGGGTGTTAATGGTGTTC